TTTTTTTTTTTTAATTTTTTTTAACGTTTATTTATTTTTGAGACAGAGAGAGACAGAGCATGAACGGGGAGGGGCAGAGAGAGAGGGAGACACAGAATCGGGAACAGGCTCCAGGCTCTGAGCTCGAACTCACGGACCACGAGATCATGACCTGAGCCGAAGTCGGACGCTTAACCGACCAAGCCACCCAGGCGCCCCGGGTAAAGTTCCTTCTTTTGGTGACTTCTAAAATGCCCTTTGACTCTGATGCAGGGATGACACTCCCAGCACAGAAGTGTGCATTGGATGCATTCAGAACTAATGGAGATAAAAAGATTCTGATCGCCACCTCAGTTGCTGATGAAGGCATTGACATTGCTGAGTGCAATTTGGTCATCCTGTATGAGTATGTGGGCAATGTCATCAAAATGATCCAAACTAGAGGTAAGAAGAGCTTTGATGCCATTACTAAGTGACTGCCAGTTTGTCTGATTTGTGAGTGTGTCTGTCATTTAGAAACTTACTTTCGACCAGTCATTGTGCTTCTGGCCTTTCTCTTTTACTGACCCTTGTTTGGCACAGTGGACTTTGATATCATTGGCCCTAACAGTGACTTACTTGATCAGGATTGGGGAGTACAATTTTGTCCACTAATATATATCCCATTTTGATTCTTGTGCACAATGAGTACTGTTTAGTTGACCTACATTGACTGACATTTATGGAAAGATAATTCCCACTTGGATTATATATGTATAGCCAACATGTGGACCTCTCATGGTGGTACTTGTGGTACTGATGGATCCCTGTATTCTAGAAGAAAAACTCCATGGGATTTTTCTGTCCTACCTCAACTAGGTGATCTCCTAAGTAGCCTCTCTTCCTTTTTTCAATTTCCATAACAACACCGGCCACTTTACTTCCTGAAAAACAGCTTTGGGCATGTCACTCGCCTGCATAGGAACTCTAATAGGTCCCAATTTACATGATGTTAAAAGGTCAAAATCCAGGACCAGTTTATCTTTCCGACCTATTTCCTGTTCTTCGCCTTTATTCATTATCCACTTCTGCCAGCCTGACTTCATAATTTTCTCGTTGTTGCAGAAAGTGCTCATGTACTGCTACTGATAATCTTCATTTTACCTCTTAACCTCTTCCCCTGATTCCATATCACCTGTCTCTAATTCCCCCAGCTGGCAATAGTTTTTGGAATGCACATAGTCCTTTACAGTGATCTTTCTTATAGCACTTATTGCCATCTGTATTCTGATGACTGTGAACATATCTATTTCCCCATTTCCCTGAAGGCTTTGAGGGAGGATGTGTTCATTATTTGTCTTAGAGTGCTCGCTCACAATGTCATCCTGTGGGTTCATATTGGATTGTCTTCAAGGCAGTGTCTCTGATAACATGGTTGTCTAATCACCCTGCACCATGGGGACCCCAAGGAAGCCAGTCTAGTGTGGGCTCTTAGTTTAACATGTAGTTTAATATTTAGGTATATACCTGCATTGGAGCCCATGCTCTAACAGCTCACCTTTCCTGTGAAAATGGAGTTCAGTGAACCAAAGTTGAATTTTAGGAATACCCTTTTGTTGACTTATTCTCAGATTTACCAGGGTTTTAAGTCAAAGGCACCAAATATTTGTTTTCTGATAGGCAGAGGAAGAGCGAGAGGTAGCAAGTGCTTCCTTCTGACTAGTAATGCTGTTGTAATTGAAAAAGAAAAAATAAACATATACAAAGAAAAAATGATGAACGACTCCATTTCAATGCTTCAGACATGGAATGAAGCAGTATTTAAAGAAAAGGTAAGTCTTTTAATCTGTGTTACTTTTTCAGAATCTGACTGTAATAGAATATGAGCATAGTTGGTACCTTTTATCATATTGCTCTGAGTGTTGCATTAGAACAATAAGTTTATGCTTAAAATTTTGTCCTGCAGTGAACATCAGAGTCATTCTGATTTAAGTCTCAGTGAGATTAAAATACAAATTATTAGTGTTGATACTTGAAGTTTGGTTTTTAGTTAGGACAAACTGAGTTAGAACGACCCTTAAGTTGGGAGCTCATCTTGAGGACTACATCATAACAGGCAGGACCCTGCTCTCCCCCGTCTTTTCCTCAGGCCCCTCTCTGATATCTGGAGTCTTCCGAGAAGAGCTCCCAGTGCACTATGCACGTGGTAAAATGCTGTTGTGGCTGTGGATAGTAATGTGCACTTTGGAGTGGCGTTATCTGTTCAGTTCAGCCTCTTGGTAGTAACCTTCATTTGATTGTAATTTCCTTTATAACCCAGAAGCATGGAACCAGATTGGGGAAAATCAGGAAACATATGCACATGCACACACACATGTACGCATGTACACGCACCCCCACACTTTCTCTAGACCCCTTGTGGAAACTTTGATCCCAGAATCGCTGCCACTTATGCGATATGTGACCTCAGGCATTAACTCTGTCTCTTAAGTCATCAGTCTCCACATTCATAAAGTTAGAAAAGAAATGGTATTTAATTCACAGGGCAGTTTGGGGGATAAAATGGGGTATGTGCATTGCTCAGCACAGTGCCTGGTACAAAGTAAGTGCTCAAAAAATGAGAGTTGTTATGGACAGAGGCATATGGGAGGTAGACTTGACCTTCACAAAAATGAACCTTACATTTCAGTAGACTGACTCCATAGTGTCCATATTTTTAAAAAGTCATAATCTCTTTTATCAAGAAAGTTTTAAGAAGTAGTGGTCTAACACTTATTTTAGGACATAAAATCTTAACTTTGTCAGTGGTTCCTCATTTTTTAAAAAATGTCTTCCTAAAGCTTAGAGACTAAAATATTTAAAAATACTTCTTCCACAGTTTCATTGAGAATGGCAGGGAAATTTTTTAGTTCCTCTTAATTTTTCTTCTGAATTTTACTGAAGATAAGGGCTTTTCACTGTGCCACCTTCCCATTTTGTAGCATATGGGAATGTTGGCAATAAAAGTTTTAAAACCATAATAGCTTTCATCCCCATGCCCTAATTTTTGTCTCTTCCATTGGGTGACAAGCTGCTTAGACTCCTTTGTGGCAGAAGAAATAGAGTAAAAATCTGCCAGGGGAGATGGAGGCTGGGCCAGACACAGACATTCTTTTGTAGTCAGTGTGCCAGGACAGGAGTGGGATGAGAACAAAACAGGTTAAGTATCAACATGTTGAGTTAGACTGTTGAATCACATTTGGGATTCCCCTCACAGCCACAGAGAACAGGCAGAGACGGTAAAGGATGAGAGGGAGTTTGGGACAAGTGTGGCCGGGACCTGTTGGTAGCTGGTAATTTTGTTGGGGGTGTGTGTGGGAGTTCTGGCTCCCCACAGGGTCTCCCTGACATCACAGGCAAAAAGGTCTACCATTTGGCAGGGCTGAAGGTCATGGCTCCCCTCTTGGCCTTCTCTGACACCATGGGGTGAGAGTGTCAAGGTTCTTCGTTACAGCTTTGCAAGTGGAAATTTTGGTGCCCCACTCAGTCTTTGCTAGCATGGGTAGGGGTGAGGCCACCCTAAAAATAGGTTAGTTATTTACATATATATATGTGTGTATATATATATACACACATACATACATACATACATACATTTAGGGGCACTTGGGTGGCTCAGTCAGTGTCTGACTCTGGCTCAGGTCATGATCTCATGGTTCATGAGTTTGAGCCCCGCGTCAGGCTGTGTGCTGACAACTCTGAGTCTGGAGCCTAGTTGGGATTCTGTCTCCTTCTCTCTCTCTGCCCCTCCCCTACTCACACTCACTCTGTCTCAAAAATAAACTTAAAAAAATTTTTTTTATATATTTTTGAGAGAGAGAGAGAGTGTGTGCATGCACAAGTGGGGGAGGGGCGGAGAGGAAAGAGGGAATCCCAAGCAGGCTTCGCGCCATCAGCACGCAAAGCCCAATGCAGGGCCCAAACTCATGAACTGTGAGATCATGACCTGAGCCAAGATCAAGAGTCGGACACTTAACCGACTGTGCCACCCAGGTGTGCCCCTAGGCCGTAGTTTTTTGTTTTATTCTGTGATGTTTGGAGTAGAACAGTTAATGTCTGAAAGTTTTTTGGCTTGCTAGGCTGTGCCTTTCCAGGTCCTTTGGCTAGAGAGAGTAGGCTTCTGTTGAGATATTTTTTATTTGTGCCCATAGGCATTTCTGCTTGCTTGTTTCTTCAGCCCCTAGTCTGGATATATGAGGTGAAAAGAAAACCCAGGGAGTCACCACCATGTTGTTCTACCATCTGTTTCCTAGCTGCCTGCCATCCTCTCTTCAACCTTTGGAATCTTCTTAGGTTTATTTTCTCCATCATGTCCAGGTTCTTAGTTATACTTAGCCATGTCCTGAGGTTTGAAATAGAAGGCAGACATACTATATATACATTTAACTTTACTGTAATTCAACAATACTCTCCTGTGGTTGGAAGAGGAGAGAAAAAAATTTTCTTAGATGATGGGGACTCTTCTGCCTGCTGTTCCATTTAATGGGTCTCTGCTCTACAAGTGGGTGTAGTCATGCCTGAAACAGTATATATCATATGTTTATTTGTGAGGGATTTAAAAAATTTTGCCAACTACTAAAGTAGAAAGCATGGTTCAGATGACTATTTTATGGACATCCTTAGTATTTTATGAGCATCTTTGATGAAAAAATTAAAAGACTAATTGGAGGTCACAGTTAAACACTGACTAACAAAGAATTAGGAGAACCATTAAAATAATCTATGGGATTTTTTTTTTCAATAAACAAAGTCAGGTACTGTATGTTCATGGAAGTTGTATATAAATGAATGATTACATACACATATATGTGTATATATATACCTCCTAGTTGTACACAAATTACACTGATGATGTGGGGTTTTTTTTTTGTTTGTGTGTTTTTTTGCATGTAGGTTCTCCAGATACAGATTCAAGAAAAAGTCATCAGGGATAGTCAAGGAAAAGTAGAACCTGTACCTGATAAGGAAAATAAAAAACTGCTCTGCAGAAAGTGCAAAGCCTTTGCATGTTACACTGTTGATATCAGAGTGGTGGAGGTAAGCAGCCTTTTTAACAAAGAGCACTGGGTCATTTTTTAGCACTAATTAAAGCTTACTATTGGTGAGATATTTATAGTCAGACATTATTATTTTTATTGTTTTCATGACCATAGTCAATGTATTTTTAAAAAGCTAAACACGGGGGCGCCTGGGTGGCTCAGTCGGTTAAGCGTCCGACTTCAGCCAGGTCACGATCTCGCGGTCCGTGAGTTCGAGCCCCGCGTCAGGCTCTGGGCTGATGGCTCAGAGCCTGGAGCCTGTTTCCGATTCTGTGTCTCCCTCTCTCTCTGCCCCTCCCCCGTTCATGCTCTGTCTCTCTCTGTCCCAAAAATAAATAAATGTTGAAAAAAAAAAATTAAAAAAAAAATAAAAAGCTAAACACGTTTTAATAGGAAATCCTTAACAATAAAGAAGAAAAAGAAGCCACTTAACTAAATATTACATAGCCATTAAAAATGGTTATGCTAAATGAATGGGGTATCTTGGATTCGATCCTAGAGTAGATAAAGAATATTATTATAAAAAGTAGTAAAATCTGTAGTTAATAGTAATGTTCCAATCCTAATTTCTTAGTTTTGACAAATGTACTATGGTGTGTGAGAATTCAGGGAAGCTGGGTGAAGGGTCTACAGGAATTTTCTGGATAATCTTGGAAATTTTTCTGTAAATCTAAAATAATTCCGAAGTAAAGTTTATTAAACAAAATGATCATGAAGCTTATGTATAATGAAAAACTTCTTACAAACTAATGAAGTGGGAAAAATAACAAGGATACAAAATTGGAAATATGCTAGGACTATAGCAGTGTGACATAATAGCAATAATACCACCATCACTACCAGCAACAAAAAAATAAATTTAACTTTGTATAGAAAAAAAGACTAGGGGAAATATCTAAAATGCATTACTATTTTGCAGTGAGATTCTGTGATATTTTCTACTATTTTATGTTTTCTAAACTTTCTTTTTGGGATACAAATCACTTTTATAACGAAAACAAAGTATCTCATTTTAAAAAATAGGTTAGTTTTCTGAATTTTTTTTCCCTAATACTTTTGGATAAAACTTTGGATACAAAAATGTCTAAAGACAAAAGTTCCATGAACATACAGCAACTCCATTGCTGCTGATAAAGGGGAGGCTCGTTCAGATGATGAGTTTTCAGGGTTCTCCTTGGGCTTCAGAAAGCTAAAGTCTCTAATCAGTCCCTCTGAGCAAGAAGCATATTAGGGGTGATACTAGCAAGTTCCCATGCCTTTAGGAGTCTGCTTCTTTAGCTATAAAAGGTCCCTTCAGCTCCAATTTGAGTGATTTTTCTGTTGAAATGGTGCTTTATGACTTTTCCCGAGGGGCTGGTGTGTTGGGGTCTGCATTTGTTCTGTACAGTGTGGCCTTTCTGAGGTTTACTCTAAAGTTGACTACAGGCAGAGCCTCTGAACCCTTTAGTCCCCAACCCTCTTCAGATCCACATTGACCCTTTGTTCTTCTCTGTATCCTTTGGATTTTGCCTGCCAGGTGAATTCAGTCTTTGGAGATCTTCAATAAATACTCCCTTTTGTTTCTGAATCAATAAAGGGTATCTATTTTCAGAAGCTCAGTTCCCTGGAAACTTCTTAGTCCTCCTCTTCATGAGATGGCCCATCACTTCACTTGTACCCTGACCCCCACCCTCATCTCCACCCGTGTAACTGGGAGTCAGGCCGCGTGGATTCTGGTCTGGCCTTCAGGTGAATGTGTATTTCCTTCTTAGCCCATCTGTAAAATGAGTGGGATCCTACGTGCTCTTCATCTCAGATTAGGGTGGAGCTTTTTTAAATCACGGTTTTGTACTCGTTTTAATGTTGTTATTCAATCCCTTCATCCGTAGGAATGCCATTACACTGTGGTTGGAGATGCTTTCAGGAAGTGCTTTGTGAGTAAACTACACCCCAAACCAAAGAGCTTTGGATATTTTGAGAAGAGAGCAAAGATCTTCTGTGCCAGACCAAACTGCAGCCATGACTGGGGAATCCATGTGAAGTATAAGATATTTGAGATTCCAGTTATAAAAATAGAAAGTTTTGTGGTGGAGGATATTGCAACTGGAGCTCAGAAACTATATGCAAAGTGGAAGGACTTTCATTTTGAGAAGATACCATTTGATGCTAAGGAAATGCCCAAATGACCTGGGTGCCTCATTCTTTGGCTACAGGGGATGGATGACCGACCCTGACTGAAGAAATTAGCCCCAGTGGGTACAATCATGGATTGCTTGTACCATTGTGAAGGTATTTGCCCAAGGCTTGTATTGAAGTAAATATCTATCACTTAACTTTACCCTCTGTTTATGGCTTTCTGTAGGCCAATAAAGCTCTTAAGTACTTGGGAAAAATTGAAAAAGCCTTAACTTCTTTTCCTATCCTTCCCCTTGCAACTGATCCCCAATGAATATCCAGTAGCCACTGGGTACACATTAGAATGAATGAATGAATTGAAGGAAGGAAAGAAATGTTGAAAGTTTTTTCTATGCTTCCCTTTCTTTCCTTAACCTGCTACTGTAAACTGACTTTTGCCCTTAATCTACTGACATTGTTCTTGTTAATACCAGTGCCTAATCCATCGGGCACTTCTTAGGCCTTCTCTCTCTGATCTCTTTGCTGCTTTTGGCCCTGTTGAGTACTCCTTTCCTGGAACCCCCTCTTGGCTCCTATTTCTGTTAGCTCTGTCCCAGTCTGTGCTGTTGATTCCTCTATGCTGATCTCTTAAATGCTGATAATTCTAAGGGTTCGATAAATACTCATATACATAGATATAGTAGTTACTCATATTTTCCATGTACCAGTGTGTGGCATGTAATCTTAAAATTCTGTAGGACAACTTTTAGTAATAGGAGCATGTAGATGATACAGTACTTCTTGAGAAATTGATTTGTTTTTATAGTTTATTGTACATCTTGCCCTATTAATTTGTTTCCTTAACCCGTGCTGTTGTTCCCTTTGAATGGTCATCTCAAGCCATTTTGTAATAATAGTTGATGGTCAACAGTTTGGACTCTGTTCTCAGGTTTCTTGGATGAAACTGAGGAGATAAATTTGGCTGTCCTATCCACTTAAAAAAATCAGACTATGTATTCAAGTGGCATTCTTGTGTCATTAAACAAGGTTGCTGATGCCCTGAGAGTTGTTTGCAGTTTTCCAGACATGGGGACAACTGCCTGAGTTTTGCTGTTTCCATGTAGGCCACGGTATTTTGTGTTCAAGACAGGGTAGGCTCTGTAATAACTTAAGTATTCTCTAAAACAGATTCAGATTAGTTGTAATTCACTAGGACCATAAATGGCTTAGACAAACCTTCAAACATCACAAAAGGAAAGACAGAAAGCTCTGACCAGAAAATGAAGTGGCTGGAAACTTGATCTTAACTTGTAGCCTCCAGGAAGGAGAAAATACATTGTTGATGTTTGAGCCACCCAGTCTATGATATTTTGTTATGGCAGCTGAGACATGTGCCCCAAAATGCTGTCAATGACAATAAGGACGTAAACTATAGGACACGAAAATTAAAAAATGATGATCTGCTCACCACGCTTACATTATTGCTCCTACTAGCTTCTTGTCTGCTCCCAACCAGGGCAGAGAAATCCTGGTTCCCCAACTCTTCCATTTCACCTGTATAGCACGGATGTGGTTGTAAAAGCAGGAGAGGTTAAACGTCACCCAGGCTTCAGGATGCTGGTAGCCTGAGACTCGCTCTGCTCTAAACAGGCCCAGACTGAAGCCTCACACACCACAGAATTCAATTCCAAAGTCAAAAAGTTTTGCTTGAAAATAGATTTAATCTCTTCTTCAAATTACAAATGTTCTAAGTCTCTCTCCAAAACCACCTCCAAAGTCCTCCTCTTAACTGAAAAATTTTCTGGGGACGATTTTTGAAGATAGTAAAAGAAAAATGTCACAATTTCTTTAGTGTTGATCCATCCAAAGGTACATAATCAAAAAATGTCAGTGTCTGATCCAAGCTGTCTGGATCATCCGCTCTGAAGGAAGAAGGGGGCAGGGGAGTCACAATCACTACTGTGATCTGAAGTGGGAGAAAGTTCTCATCTACCCATGTCGGTTAACTCTGGCATACTATGCATAGGCCAGGGAGTCTCAAGGGAAAGGTTTCACCGAACAGAGGGGAGGACAGGCGACGCCTTCTGAGAAGACTTATCAGGCTGACAGTGAAAAAATCAACATCCTGTAATCAGTTTCCTTAAAGACAAGCTCAGTTCTCCTTTTCTGGCCCTACTGACATTGCCACCACTTAAGCTTCCAAATTCCAGAGAGAGAGCCAAAGATTCACAAAAATAGAGAATGCAGAAACTGCTCGTTTTGTGCCTGGAGGGATGGCACCAGAACACGTCCGTGCTCACGTGCATGTGTGCAAGGCGGCACCCCTGCGGGGAGGCCCACACGTGGAGGGGGGTGCTCTGCACCAAGGGCCTGGCCGGCCGGTGGCGCTTCGCTCCCTCCTGGTGCAGCTCCAGGTGCAGGTGACCTACTTGGCCATCTTGCGAACCATGTAGTTGAGGATGCCCCCGTTGTGGAAATAAGCAAGCTCCACGTCGGTGTCGAACCTCATGACGGCCTGGAAGCTCTTCCCGGTGTCAAGCTGTGATGACAAAGAAGCAGAGGAGAATCAGTGAGGGAGGAGGCTAGGCAGGGAGGGGCGCCCACCCACCCTGTCCTCAGGGCTGCTACGTGCAGTCCCGGGCTCCAGCCCAGACCCAGGAAATCAGAAGCTGCATTTGGACGAGACCCCCAGTGGACTTCTCTGCACAGGGAAGCATCATAGCGTATGAGTGATGGCAGTGACAGGCAACAGAGAACCAGGTCTCCTGGGGTAGCAGCAACTAATGATGTTCGGGATGGCGTTTTCTCTCTTTACTTTGAGAGGGAGAGAGAGAGATCATGCGCGCACATCAATGTGGGGGCAGGGGCAGAGAGAGAGGGAGAGAAAGAATCCCAAGCATTCAGTGTGGGGCTGGAACTCACAAACCCCAAGATCATGACCTGAGCCCAACCTGGATACTTACCAGATGGAGCTACCCAGGTGCCCCTGGATGGTATTTTCTAAACCCTCTCTGGGAGCTGCGGGTCAGGAGAAGTCTCATTAAGGTGGTCCCGTAGGCAGTGCGGGGCACTTGGCCTCACCTCACATAGGGAGCTGTCGTTTTTACCTCTGGGCTAATCAAAATCTGGGGCCTGGGGTGAGGCTCAGGGATGGGGTGTGTCTGTTCACATTTTGATAATAAAAAGGTATTTTTTGGGTAATGTGACTATGTGCGGTCTTTGAGCTTCCCCCCACCCCTCTCTGGGCTGAGTCTGGGCCACAGTGGAGACAGCGGGGCTGGTTGGAGGGTAAGAAAGGAAGTGATGGTGACCACACGCATAAACAAGCAGTAAGTGATCAGTCAACAGCTGCCATCCTCCCTGCAGTCCTACTGAGTGATTTTCTTCCTTCCAAACTCTACTCCTTTCCTTCTGACGGGATTGATTATAAACACACAGCCCTGTTGACTTGGGCCCGGTGTGGAGAGGCTCAGCTTACCTTGACCTGCACTTTCATTCGTGGTTTGAGGTTTTCTGGAATGATGATCGTGTATCGTTCCCGCCCTGTGAGTCCCAGGATGTCTGCAGTCTCCCCAGGAAGATATTCGAGGGGAATCACCCCCATTCCCACCAAATTACTGCGGTGAATGCGCTCGTAACTCTCCGCCAGGACGGCTTTGATTCCCTGAGGAGCCAAGACAGTACTTTGGACACAGTTCCAGTTTTCTTTGGCAACAAAGAAACTTTACAAAAGGCTTCCTAAGTCTTCTCACACCTAAATTCTAAGTACCAACTGGTTGTTTACATAAAGTTGCTCTCTAATTATAAATAACACAGTAGATAGTCTGAACTGCCTATAAGTACAGGCCACGTGCAAGTATTTGAATGGATTTTCTCAATCCACCCTCCGCCAGCTCTGGGAGGTAGAGGCCATTATTGTCCCCCCTTTACCCACGCAGTCAGTGGAGTACCTGGTATTGGAACCCATGCAGTTTCACCACACGCTTAGCTGCTTTGTGATACAACATCTCTTAGCAAACTTTCATTGTTATCTGGAATCTACACCACAAAACACCATAATCATTTCTTCTATTTCCCTGGGATTTTGCTACTATAGGTGCAGACACAAAAGATTTAACCAAAAAAGCAACTTCCAGAACATACTATCGAGAAAGTAAATGATGTGCTGCTTTTACAATTCCTGTTTCAAGGACTGAATTGCACTGAATACAGTCTTCATATTAAGACTTCCTGTAAAGTACATTGTATTCGTGAACTAGAAGTGGCAATATACAGCAGTGCTCAATAAGCCAGGATCCTTGATTAACTAGAACACCCCACTCTTAAATATTAGTTAATTGTAATATAATATTAAGATACCCCTAAACGGGCTCTTGATACATAGAGTGCACTTTTTTTGAGGGGGAGGGGCTGTAGGAGAGGGAAAGAGAGTCTCAAGCAGGCTCCACACCCAGTGCAGAGCCCGACTCGGGGCTCAGTCTCACGACCCTGAGATCATGACCTGAGCTGAAATCAAGAGTCGAACGCTTACCTCACTGAACCACCCTGGTGCCCCTTTAGGGTATACTTTTAAGCCCCCCTGCATGAGGAGCATTCTGGGAACTTGTTAAAAATGTAGGTTCTTTAGGCATTACCCCAGATCAGGACCTCTTGCAGGGAGCATGGAGGGGAGGAAGCTAGTGATTCTTGTTAAGCTGCGGGAGCCGTAGACACAAAGCACTGGTTCTCAAACTTTGCCACATATTCACATTACCAGGGCAGGCTTTTACAATGCCCACATGCAGGCCTTTCTCCTTAGCAACTAAACCAGAATCTTTGGGCATGAGATCCTGGCATAGGTATATTTAAAAATCCCACAAGCGTTTCCACATTTAAAAATGAGCGTATAGAGGAAGAACAGGTTCTTCAGAGCAGCAGATATTCCGTCTGGATTTATGTACACGTATTCACTAGGAGGGGGGTGGTCCTGTGCACGTGCCTAGCTCCCGGCAAGAGCCGCGCGGCACCGCAGACCGCAGTCGTCCGGCCCCCTCAGCCGGGAGCACAGCCCAGCACTGCTGAGCAGCCCGGCTTGGGCTGCCGGAACCTGGAGCCGTTCCGTACAGAGGTCTAGGCTCCTAGGAGCCCCTTGCGTGCCGGTTCTCTTACCCTCCGCCAGCTCTTACGGTTCCCTCTCTGGCTGCGTGCTGCACCGGGTCTCATTTCTACCACCAGCTCCCAGCCTTCTTCCTAAAACCCTTTCCTCTTCTGTCATTTCTCTGGTTCTTTCTAGCAGCTTCTCAAAAAGGCAGGCTTTTGATATATTACCAAGTAATCAGAGAACATCCTCCCCCCACCCCCACCCCGTGCCAGAGCAAAAGGATGGATTAAAAAAAAAAGAAGAAAAAACACAGTAGGTGTGATGTTCAAACACATTATCCTGGACTTCTGGAGGGCAGCCTGCCAGACACCACATTTTTTACCATAGACATCAACTTATTTAGTGGATGTCAACTTATTTAGTGCTTCCCAAGGCTTAATTTGCTGGAGCCACAAATCATTTGGATTGACACTGGCTATGGCGTTTCACCCAACCCCGAGAATTAAAGCTGAGCTGCAAGGCTCTTCCAGCAAATGCTCAGGAGGTAAAAGCTGCCTGCTCCCGGGGCGCCTGGGTGGCTCAGTCGGTTGAGCGTCCGACTTCGGCTCAGGTCACGATCTCACGGTCCGTGAGTTGGAGCCCCGCGTAGGGCTCTGGGCTGATGGCTCAGAGCCTGGAGCCTGCTTCCGATTCTGTGTCTCCCTCTCTCTCCTGGCCTCCCGTTCGCCTCTGTCTCTCTCTGTCTCAAAAATAAATAAACGTTAAAAAAAAAAAAATTTAAAAAGCTGCCTGCTCCCTGCACGGCCCCTCCATGGGGATGCCGCCAGAGGGTCAGGCCCTGAATTGGTAGAAGGTTCTAAAGAGCGCTGCCTTTTCCCTTGGGAGTCTATGAGCTGATTCACGGGCAGTGAGAAGCGACTGTAAAAACGTGCGCTCCCGCGTGTGTCCAAAGTGCAGGCTGCTTACTTTCCCCTTCTGTGAACCTCCTGACCGACAACACAGGATCGGCCGCCCGGGCTTACTGTACTCCTGGGACAACCGCCTGAGATACATTTCTGATCCTCAAACTGAATATCATGAAAACCATGAAATTCTTCCCTACAAAACAAAGACATACATACACCCTTTTCAACAGAATTTCAGAGACTTCACAGACCCTCGTCCCAACTGCTCTACAGACACCCCAAAGATCCATGGTCTCCCGAAAATGAATAACCGATCTAAGGAACCAGTTCAACGCTAGGTCACCCTTCACGGAGTGAGGTAAAGCCAGGTCCACCAAGAAGCAGTTGCACAAACATCACACGCTTTCCTGAGCTCGCCTGCTGGGATCTCTCTCCATCGTACTCACCAGGAGGAAAGGGCCCTTGGCCGCCCAGTCCCGGGAGCTGCCCGAGCCATACTCTTTGCCAGCCAGCACAATCAGGGGAAGGCCAGCCTGCTGGTACTGTTCCGCGGCATCGAACACATCAAGCTGACGAAGAGAAAAGGAAGGTTTTACAGACTCGGTAAAGGCACAGAGTGTGGACACAGGCAGTGGCACCTGGTAAATGCAGGGTCAGAAGGATCTTCAGTGGCCCATGTCAACACAAAGCCAACAGAAACTCAACCAATCAGTTGTCTGATTTACAAATTTCCAATTAACTCCATCTATTTACCCCTACCAGTGAACTGTATATTCTTTTAACTGAAATGCCTAGTTGTTGTCCTGGTTTTAGAAAAACATTCTAATCTTAAGGCACCAAGGGAAAAAAAGGGAAAGATCAGACTTTTTTTCCCCTCTTCTGTTGATTAAACAATTAAAAAAAAATTTTTTTTGAATGTTTATTTATTATTTTGAGAAAGAGACAGAGTGCGAGCAGGGGAGGAGCAGAGAAAGAGGGAGACACAGAGTCCCAACCAGGCTCCAGGCTCTGAGCTGTCAGCACAGAGCCCAACGTGGGGCTTGAACTTACGGACTGCGAGACCGTGACCTGAACCGAAGTTGGACACTTAACCGACTGAGCCACCCAGGCACCCCTGATTAAACTATTTTAAAGCTTAAAAAACAGAGAATCTCAGTTAAACCTGGGATTTGACTCAGAGACTCAGTCATGGTCCCTTGGGAAGGGTAGCTAAACACAAAGAAGGCAACATGTTCTAAAATCATAAAAAATGCAAATTTTTATTAGCCACCTTTCTACATGGAAGTCAAGGCAGAGACACGAGGAAGTAGAAACCTCCATCAATAAAGGACAGGAGAGGACTAATATTTTAGTGTACATGAGAAACATCTAACACAAACAATTTCATGTGTTTTTCACAAGAACTCTGAATGTTCTGCGGAGCCAAGACTTCAGGAAGACATGTGATATCGTTGCTCGTGATTAAGTAATGAAACAATTGTTTCTTCTGGCTACTTAAGGAAAAAAAAAAATCCCTCAGAAGAGTGTTTCCTTCAGAAGAAGCTCTAGAAAGGTGTATAATCAAACTCCGAAGTAAGCTTTCACAAATTACTATTTTGGCGGGCTGCTGGAGCCTCTGGTTAGTTCTACACGGCGCTCTGGGAATCTGGGGAGCTTACACAGCAACAGCTCCCTGCACTCTCCCTGTCTTCTAAAGAAGAGGACATACAATTTTGTTGTTTTCTTCTACTGTTCCTCTATGGCTCTAGTGTTATATTGAAACCACCAGTTCTTCATTTCTCCATTTTTGTTATCTACCAATTTCCTGCTTCAATGGGGATTTGGCTAACTACCATTCCCCTAGGGTCCCCTCTCCCCAACCTCCCAATAGAATTATGTCAGACATTTTGGGTAAGTCAGTATTTGGTATTTGCGTTACTTTGACTATGTGAATGTTATTTATAGCTGAGTCATGTAATATACTATGATTTCCTTTTCTTGGCAGTTAAAAAAAATCCCCACTGGTATTAATTTGTGTGTGTGTGTATGTGCGTGCACACACACTCATCTGTTTCTGTGTCCCTATCCTTCAATGAATCCCCAAACACTCTGCCTAAAGTACAAATCTTCTCTAAGGACATTCAAATGTATCAGGAAGTATGTCATTTGTTTTTATTTTTATTTTTTAAATGTTTATTTTTTATTTTTGAGAGAGACAGCAAACAGGGGAGGGACAGAGAGAGGACAGCAGGCTGACCTGATGTGGGGCTCAAACTCACCAACCATGAGATTTGTGGATGGCTCAGTTGGTTAAGCATCGACTTTTGGTTTTGGCTCAGGTCATGATCTCACAGTTCATGGGATCAAGCCCCACTGTTAGCCTTGTGCTAACAGTGCGGAGCCTGCTCGGGATTCTCTCTCCTCCTCTCTCTGCTCCTCCCCTGCTTGCGTGTGTGCGCTCACACATACGTACTCTCTTCTCTCAAAATAAAGAAACATTTTAAAAAATAAAAATGAAAACATCCTTTCCATGGAGGGATAACTCCTCGAGCTTCAGTCCTATTCCAATTCAGACGGATTCTTCTCTAGATGTGGTGCACTGATGTTATGGAAGAATCTTCCTTCACCAACGTCCTGGGGATCCCTTGCATTTTCTTTTCCTGGATCCTACATCTTCCCTTTTTGGCTTATTCCCTCATCTCGGTAAAATGCATTCACCAAGTCATTTCCTGAGACAGGGATTGAGGGGTATTTTTAAAGTTTTTGAATCTGAATATGTTATTATTTTAACATAGGACATGGAATCCTGGGGTGCAAACCAGTCTGTTTCCAGTGTTGCTCTGAGCACTTCTGATCCCCAGAACATTACACATAAGCTGTTTTTCTCGCTTTTGAAGTTTGTAGATCTTCTTCTGATCTCTGCTGCACTTAACTTCACAATGATGTGACTTGGAGCTGTTCTCCCGTAATCATGTGGGCATTCAGTGGGTGTAATCTGGAATCGGATCTTGCAGTTGGGGAATTTTCCTTGTGTCACTTCTTGAATAATTTCCTCTCTTCTCTTTTCAGCATGTTTAGTCAGATGCCGAGCCTCCTCATCTCCGTCTTGAATTTTCTTATATTTTCTAATCTTTGTCTTTCTGTTCTATATTCTGAGAGATTCTCTCAACTAACCAACTTTTCCTGTGAAATTTTTTAGGGGCTTTTTTTTTTTTAATTATTAAAAGAGCCCATATTTATTATTATTATTTTTTTATGAAAAGTCCTTTTTGTCCTCTGATTACCTTATACCACCAACAGAAAATCATTTCAGCACTCTGAGAAGACAGTATTTTTCTTGCAGTTTTCTTCTGCTCCCTGCATTATCTCTGTTATCTTCTTTCCCTCCCCACACCCTGTTCTTTGTGTACGTCTATCTTTCAGGTTCAAGGCTTGGCTCAAATGTCGGTTCATCTCAGTCTCCTTATTTCAGATGAGGCACTGAACATCTGACCAGAAGTTCTATGCCATGGCAGGACTTGTAAAAATAAGAGGGGTTCACTGTGACGGCCGTATACCGGAGGCCTCCCAGTGTCTATAACTGCACGCCTTTTCCCCTTGGTCTCTTGGGCATTCGACCATTTAATTGTATTTTTTTCATTGAATAGTTTATCGTCCCTGCTCTTCACTGAACAAGTATCTACTGGGCACTGACTCTGTGTTGGGTCCTGGTGACTAGTGATTATTTGTGAAGAGTCTGCTTTACTAAAATATCATCTGTTACAAGTGAGGCATATGGGTGGCGGTAGACCACACCGACTTCGGAGCCAGACTCTCTAGGTTTTAATATCCATTTTTGGGATCTTAAAACACGGACAATCATGGTACCTACCTCAGAGGGTTGTTATGAGGATTAATAGATCAATATATACAAAGAGCTCAGAACAGTACCTGGATGTAGTAAGTTCCATATAAATACTAGCTACTATTATTAAGTAAGTCGGGAGGGCTATTTCTCAAGTAACTTAAACACTGTTCAAGCAGCTTTGCAGTAGCTGCTGGATGTCGAGGACGGACGGCATGTGTCAGAGTATCTGCCACGTTATATGTGTCATTCCATTTAAGTGTAAGCCTCAGAGCCGGACAAGGTAGGCATCATTCTACTTTGCAGGTCAGAAAAATGCAGCTCAGAGACGAAAATAACTTGCTGAATGAACGCTCCACAGCTGGTATGTCCGATTCAAAATGTAGACTTTCTCCACCTCTCACATGCCTCCCATCTGTGGCTCAACAAGTCCCGCTGTAACAGGGCCAACTCCAAATGGCTCCCATTAGGACCCTAGCAGGCCTCCGCGGGCCCTCTTTTTTTTCTAGTGGTGTGGTGACTGAAATTAAATGCTAATAAAATCATACAACAGTGCTTGTTGATAAAGAGCCTCTGGAGACCTTAACCTGGAATTTCCCTCCTCAAATACCTGAACTGATGAAATTTCAGTCAGAGCCTGACAAATGCCGGCCTCTCAACCAAGCAGAAGACACAATACTTACAATTTCTCCAGAAGGCAGATGTATAGTCTGTGGTGCCTGCTTGTTCAGAAATTTGTTTAATAAGCGAATGTTGGCAAATGTCCCCCGTGCCATGATGGCATCGTTACCTCGGCGGGAGCCGTAGGAGTTGAATTCTCGTGGAGTCAAGCTAATAATGCAAGCGGGAGAGGAGCTGGCTTAGTGAACGGAACAAAGGTGAAACTTAACTTACATCAAGACAAGAGAAAAACCATAGACCTAGATAGCTCTCTAATCTAATAAGCCTTGCTCGTCAAGGCAGGAAAGCTATTCCTAACATCTGCTGAGGACAGTAGAGGCAGATGTCAGAAGTGGGGCACTGAAAGGCAGAAATCAACATTCTCCTCAGGTTAACTTGTAGTCTTATAAATCTGGGTAAAAAACCAGAAGGAACTCTATTGAGTATTTATTTTATTTATTCATTAGGGTAGCCTAGGGAACTTCACAAAAGATAAAACATTAAAAATAGGTAAGAAAAAGAAAACAAAAAGAATAATTAGTATAGGCCAGTCAGGTGGAGCCAAGAATGAGGGAAACATAAGGTACTTTCTGTAAACTAACAGGAAGGAGATCTACTTCTCACGAACTCAGTGTGCTGGGCAGACACACGACTGGCAACGTGGTTTACGATTTTCATAAGATAAAAATCAGAGCAATGCTGAAGAGGCAGAACAGCTATTCCTTGTCCTGAAATCAAAGAAAAATCCTGTCTGTGGGCCCCAGTGAAAGGACACTTTGTGATGGCAGGGACAACAGCTTACAATTAACACAGCGATCAGCTCCCTGGCTGTTTCTGAAAATGCTAGGAAGTGTGTCTGAGTGGTGATCTGATCTCATGATGAGATGTAATTTGAAGATGGAGAGAAGATGTGAATGGGCTTTAGGAGTAGGTGAGCATATCTACAAACTCCTGAAATTGTATCTGGAGTGCTGGGGATATGTGCATTTTTCTGGGAATGTACTGTATTTCCCTTCATTCATTTCCCTATGATTCCCATTCTCAAAAGATTGTCAACAATCACCAATCAAAAAAAGTACTGGTCACGGCTTGTTTCCTTAGTTTCTGTATTCAGCTTCAATCTCTGTTTCTCTGTTTGCTGTTGAATTCTTTTCTCCCATTCATTCATTCACTCAACATTTACTGACCACCAGTTATGGGCCAAGGACTATTCAAAGGGCCTAAGGTACACTGATGAACCAAACAGATTAAGATCTGTGCCTTTGCAGGGCTTACATTCTAAAAGGTGGAGACAAAGAAATAATAATAAAAAAAAGAGCACTGTCTATTAGTGTTACTAGAATGTGGTTAATAACGGAGGGGAAAAAAAAAAGTAGATCAAAGCAAAGAGAACAAGAGTATGGGCAGGGTAACCTCATGGAGGAAGACTTGAATTGGCAATGGAGTCAACCAGGCAGATTATTTGAGGGAAGAGGATCCAAGAGGAAAAACCAGCCAACTCAAACCATCAGGCAGAAAGGCGTTTGGCTTTGCCTGGAACATTTGATAAGGCAATCGCCAGTGTAGACTGAGCTGCACGGATGAGGGGGAAGGGCAGGGATTCGCTGACACCTCTTGAATATCACCTGCCTGTCTCTGCTTGCTGATGGACGCTTGTCTCCCATTCAAAGTACAATCATATCCCTTTAAAACCTTACCATATGCGTCTGTGTATAGAAAGTTCCTGTACATTTACTACAGTAGTTGCCCCACATTAAAAAAAAAATCTTGACATAGACTCCTGTAGATCACCTCCTCTAGAGGTGGGCTATCTTCCTAGACCTTCAACACTCACATTTCTGGGGAACATGGAATAGTCTTGCTCTGCACATGACTGTCCCATAGGATGCACTAGGAGAAGGCAGAGACTGAGTGGAGCACAGTAGGAGGGGGATGTATGAGGAAAACAGGTCAGCTACCAGGCAAGTGCGGTGAGGGCAAGGCGGTTTTCCTCTCCCACTGACAAAACAAAACACAAGAAGGAAGGGAAACGGAAGGGAAAGGGAAGAGAAAGGGAAGGGAAAAGGAGGGGGAAGGAAAGAGAAAGGAAGGGAAGGGGAAGAGGAAGGGAAGGGGAAGGGGAAGGGAGGGGAAGGGAAGAAGAAGGAAAGAGAAAGGGAAAAGAAAGCGAAGGGAAGGGCAAGGAAAGGGAAGGAAGAAGAAGGACCTGCATTTTGTTCTTCCGATCAGCTCTGGGCTTCATCCCTGAAGAAGCTGATTCAGGAGGTGCAGAGAGGAACCGGAATTTTTATCTCCCCAGATGATTCTCATGGAAAGTCAGATCTGGGAACGACTCCAATTACTATCGGTGTATTAGGGGACAAGAGATAATACTGGTATAAAAGCTGTTAAAATCAGTCTAGACTGAAGGATCGGCAAATGGATGTGTCAGCCACTGTTCTCAGAAATTCCTCCTCTCAACCAGGACCTGGCTACGCACCTCAGGTGACATCCCTGCCGAGTGCGACGCAGGCGGAGAGCAGAGCCCATACCCTCACGGCAACCAAGCTGGGGCGGGAACGACAGCTGGGTCTCATGGGGACATTAGAAGGAAGGTCCCCTCCCTTGCTGATGGAATCTCCCAAGGAAGCTTGGAAGCAGCAAACAGAAAGGGCGACTGTTTTTCAAGCCTCAGGGTTCAGTGAAAAACCAGACTCTGATTCAAAAGAGAAATACTGGCTTCATTCATTCCATTTCTGTCTTTTAGTCTTTTTTTCCCTCACTCACACTTACCCTCTGTTAGTTAAGTAGCGAGCAGCGGGGCTGTTTCTTGCAATATTTCCAGCCGGAGAAATGTGGTCAGTTGTTACCGAATCCCCCAAATTTAACAGCACATACGCATCCACTATAGACTTAGGCGGCTGGATATCTGAAGTCTAGCAAAGCATACAGCAAGTCAGTGTTGGCCCAGGTTTGCTCTAGCAAGTCACCAAGGGAGTCTCAACCGTCACAACAATGGTCTGTGGACCTGAACTAGATGCCAGACCTATAGTGATACACAGAAAATTCTAGTGTTTTTGGTTTTGTCAGGGGTACTTAGAAAAGTAAGGTGAATTTACTCAGAACACTCACATCCCACCCTTGAAGGGAGGCAAAGTTGGGCACTATTCTGTCAAAACCAATAGGGATGCAGCCATAGGTGGCATTCTTTGTGTCCACATCCACGAAGCTCAGAAGCTGAGGACACGAGAATCCTGACTTCTCCTCCCACCCTCTCCCCACCCAGGGGGTCATGGGCTCCTGGTTCATCAGTTGTAGAGAAGATCTCCCTTGATTTCTGAGTATAAGGTTTAAATAGAACAGGCCTGGGGATGTCTTCCCGGAACAATCAGTTCCGCAGACTTTTCTGAGTCTACGTCCAGGTGGCACTGGGGCCCCAGGGTGTCTCTAACAGCCACACAGAAGCCCCAGACACAGAAGCTGTAGGCTCACTAGAGCCAAATATCCCAGCTTCTCAAGATTCTCCCCAGCATCATCTGTTCGGCTTTGTACAGGTTTCAATGGAATGGGTGGACAAAGCAAGGGCACAGGGTAATAAAGTAGACTTTATAAGGAAAGAAACCATTGGGAAAACTGATTTTGTTAAACATTAAAAAAAAAAGCCATACCAGGTTTTCAAAGAACGGTGGTGACTTAATGTATGTTGATTTGGGATTCCAGCAATATAGCTTATCCGAGGGGGCTGCTAAGGCATTCCAGCTTTCATTCACAGTCTTTAAAAAAATAAAAAAAGATAAAAGAAAGAAAAGCAAATCGAATCACATTCCATTCTAAGGAATATTTAACATGTAAGCAAAAAATGTATGTTCTAAGAGTATAATAAAAACCATCCTTAGCATAACACCCTCTGAGTACACCAAGTGAAATACATCAGAGAAAGATAAATACCATGGTTTCACTTGTATGTGGCACCTAAAAAACAAATCAAATGAACAAACCAACAGAAAAAGCAGAAACAGACTGATAAACACAGAGAAGTAACTGATGGTTGCCAGAGGGGAGGGGAGGTGAAAGGATGGGCAGAAAGGGGTGAAAGGGGTTGGGGGGTATAGGCTCCCAGTCATGGAATGCATGAGCCATGGGGATGAAAGGCACAGCACGGGGAACATAGTCAGTGGTATCGTAACAGTGATCAACGGGGATGCAGGGTGGCTACACTTGTGGTGAGCAATGAGACGTACGGGGCCTGAAACTAATGTAATTGTGTGTCAACTCCACTTCGATACAACAAACCCCCAAACAGTTCTTATTCCAGCCATACAAAAGAGTTCCTTTATACTAAGACAATGTCATGGCAAATAACTTAAAAATACATATGCACTGTGACAGGAAGCCCCTAAGATGGCTCCAAGGACCTGCCCCCACCTTTCTGGCATTCACACCCTTAAGCCATCCCCTCCTGCTGAGTGTGGGCTGAACCTAGTGACTAATTTCCAAGATTGGGTTATAAAGAGACTCGGCCTTCTGTCTCTCTCTCCCTCTCTTGCTTGCTCTGATGGAAGTCAGTACCATGCTGTGAGCTGTGAAGAGACCCACCAGCAAGGCAATGAGGGGGGCCTCCAGCTAACTGTAGGCAGGGAACTGAGGCCCTCAGCCCAACAGCCTGTGAGGCACATTATCCTCCCACAACCATGTGAGTGGCCTTAGAAGGGGGTCTTCCCCCAGTTGAGCCTTCAGATGAGCTGCAGCCCCAGATGACACCTTGGCTGGAGCCTTGTGAAGGCAGAGGCACCCGGCTAAGCCACACTTGAATTTCTGATCCACAGAAACTGTAAGATAATAAATGCTGTTTTAACCCACTAAGTTTTAGGATAAATTGTTGGGCAGCAACAGAAAACTAATCCATACACAAAGTATTAACTTAGGAAGCAATAATTCAGATTGTACCAAAGGGGAAATTATTTACTCTCTGAAAATATGGGGAAGTGGACATCCAGGTCACATGGACACTGGATAGCAAATGACAGGTGCTATGCATTAAAATCAACTTGAATGTCTCCACAGGGTCATTACCTCAGCCTTTGGAGAAATGCGTTAACCCAACGCCCAACAAACTTGCTCATAACCGCTTCCCAATGTGCAACTCGTGGGAGGGCACGGTGCATGAATACGACCCTCCATTTGACCCTTCTCCCCAGACAGTCTGCTCTGTTATTTCAAACCCAAGCCACAGTCAGCACTCCCTAAGGCACCCAACCACAGAAAGCAGAGAAATAACAACATCCAAGGGTCTCTGAAAACGATACTGAGCCCCACACATTTTCTCCCTGTTTGTAAACTGCACAAAAAGTTTCATTTATTTTAGTAGTTTGATAGTTTGGGGCTTTTTACTGAATGGGTTTAAAAAAATTTTTTAAGCATCCAAATAATTCTGAGGGTGCATTACACCTCTACCTCAGTGACATACTCTAATAGACATCACGGATCCTCAACCACAGTTGACACAATACCCAGGGTGTCTGAGGAGGGGGTGGGTTAGGGCAAGCTGGCTAGGAATCACACACAACCTAAGGCCTCTCTTCCCAAGGATACTGCCAAATCTGGGGCCTTGTGCAAATCTGGGAACATCTGGGGAGAGTGCGGTTTTGTAAAAATGTGAGTCTCAGGAGAAATGACTGAGAACCACTTCCCTGGTTATCTTTAGAAGTAAATGTTACTCTCCATAGCTTCCACCCCATCGGCCTCAAGGTCTGCAGAGAGGCCACAAAGGAACGGCTTTCCCCTAAACGTGTAGGGGCAGGGTGGGCGGGGACCTCACCTCTATTTTCTGGTAGACCTCCTTAAACATCCCAGGGATTACATACTGACGCTCCACCGCCTGGATCTCGTCTCTGGTTGGCCAGATGTCTTTCAGAAATACCTGTTGTCCCTTTGCATTTACCCCTGGGGGAAAAAAGTTTATTAGAGAAAAACTGAATTTAATACCCCCTTTTCATTATCACATACAGTCAAATCCCGTTCTCCGTGGTAGCAATATTCTGTAAAATCCATGCAAACACTGAGTAGTGAAGACTCAGTCGCTGCCCCCAGGGGATGCGGGTTAGGCCCCTGAGGGCCTTGAGCCTAATGTTTTCGGCAACCGATCAATTCATAATCTTGCTTTATGTGTGCTTCTGCTTAAAGACACCCTATCTAATATATTTTGTTGATGCGTTAACACTGAAGTCACAGCCAGCAACACCATAACTCTTGCCTGAACTAAGTCTACCTCCCACGAGGCACACCCCAGCCTCCTCGGGCTTACGTATACTAGACAGCACTTCGGCACTATGCTTGGGGACTATTTTTAAAAGTGCAATCACCAAAACCACAAAAATGTGGGAAAACATGGCACTACACAGAGCATGAACAGGATACTTGCTGACAGTAGGAGTGCTGAAACAAGAAGGTGGAACCCTGCCTAGTTTGGATGCAGCTGAGAACACGCTCGTTGAGTGACTCAAAGCTGTCACCCCTCTGTGCGTGTCTGCAAATGACCTTGGAGGCAAGGTGAGTATTGATTTGGGGGTTAAAATACATTTTGGTGAATAAGCAAATCTGCAATATCAAATCTACCATATAATGAGGATCAATTATAGCTCTAGTTTTGATTTCCAAAAAATTAATTTAAGGGGCACTGTTTTCACATTATTTAATCTACTCAGAACAGATTGGGGAAGGCACAGCAAAACCACCAGAGGAAAGGAAACACAGCATCATTTGTCCGAATTCGGGGAAGGTGAATGTATTTCCACAGAGTATATGTTAAAACAGTGCCTATCGTTAGATAAAAGCAGGAGCTAGAAAGAGAAGAACTAGGGAAGAAGCCAGAATAGCATGCTCTCTATGCCTTTTTGTATTTCTTTCCTTTTAAAATTTTTGTTTTATTTTTTATTTTTTTGAATTATTTTTTAATGTTTATTTATGTTTTTTGAGAGACAGAGTGCGAGCAGGGGAGGGGCAGAGAGAAAGGGAGACACCGAATCTGAAGCAGGCTCCAGGCTTCCAGCTGTCAGCACAGAGCCCGACAGGGGCTTAACCTCACGAATTGCAAGATCATGACTTGAGCCGAAGTTGGATGCTCAACTGACTGAGCCACCCAGGAGCCCTTTTTTTTTTTTTTAAAGTTTTATTTATCTATTTATTTTGAGAGGTAGACAGAGAGAGAGAGTGAATGAGCAGAAGAAGGGCAGAGAAAGAGACGGAGAGAGAGAAAATCCTAAGCAGGCTCTGCAGTGTTAGCACGGAGCCCGTGTGTAACTCATGAAGATCTGACCTGAGCCAAAATCAAAAGTTGGCTGCTTAACCGACTGAGCCACCCAGGTGCCCCTTATTTCTTTCCTTTTGTTATCTCTGTCCTTCAGTTAATTCTTGTGTATTTCAGGTAGGTCTTCCCTGTGTGTGAGGGAATAAAGAAAAGACTCCTTCTCATCTTTGTTAGTTCTTTGCCTCATTATTTATTAATGAAAGCAGTTACTTTCCTCCAATAAGATTTTCAAATTCACTGGGAAAAAAATCAAACAAGTGTAACCACACAAACGGAATCTTACCCAGTGGCTCTTTCTCAAAGTTGATCCTGATGGTCCCAGCAATTGCATATGCTATCACTAAGGGCGGAGAGGCTAAGTAGTTGGCCCGGGTATTGGGGTGGACTCGACCTTCAAAATTCCGGTTCCCAGATAGTACTCCAACAGCTACAAGGTCTCCCTGTGTCCAGCAAGAGAAAAATCAGTTCATGCAGAGAAGAGGTTGCCTGGGCTTTTTGTCTCAGACCACCTGCTAAAGTTTCCCATCAATGGAGGAGGCTCCTTAAACCCTTCTTTCACTTGGTCCTCTGGGTGTGGGGAAAAGAACACGCATGGCTGTCCCTGGGGAGACACTCTGGGTCAAAAGACACAGAGAGACATGATTTCTGGTCATGAGAAAATCCCAGGTCAGTCAGAAGGCAGCATCCTGGTTACTTTGCCACCTGGGGCCTGAGAACAGGAGGGAAAATCTGTTAACAGTTGAAAGCTCAAGGAAGCCACACTGACCTATGTTTGCAAAGCAAACCAAATAGTGTTTCCTAAAGCTACAGAATTTACAGAACAAAAATCAAACCAATGCAACTTAGTGTTGATTTGTTTGCATGCAGCCCTGACTCCGAGCCAGTTTTCAGATTACCAGGAACACACAGTTCTGGAGCTGTCTGCAGTCAACACCAGCACTGACCGGGCACTTGTGTGCCGGCACCACTCAAAGTCCGGCACGTCCATTATCACCTCCGTGCTCGCAGCACGTACTATTATCATCTCCAATTTACGGCTGAGGAATGTGCCGCACAAGGTAGACAGCTGGTAAGGCTGGCTTGCCCCTGAAGACCATACATGCAACGGCATCCATTCCCTGCTTCCCCGGACCTTCCTGAGACGACCGGCATTTTGGTCGCACATCTTATGAAAGGAGGCAACAGCTCTGAAGCCCCACAGGCTCCTCTGCACTTACCTGGGTGATGGCTTCTACCACAGCTTCGGGTAAGGGCCCACTGTTGCCAATGCAGGTCATGCAACCGTAGCCGACCACATCAAACCTAGGTGCCGGGAGAGAAGCACGGGTGCGCAATGATTCTCAGCGAGCCTCTCTGGCGATGACAGGTCTAGAGACTACTGATTTAAGGAGAACAGCAGCACATGGAGTAAGTTTAGCACTGTTTCTAGAAAGCTTTCATTCTCAGGAGCATTTTAAAGGTGCTTTTGTTTTTGTTTTAATCTTAAGTACAATCTAACCCCCCAACACGGGGCTTGAACATGACCCCAAGATTAAGAGTCAACATGCGACTGACCAACCAGGTAGAACGTTTTAATATACTATTCATCCATTCGAGATCATTGAATTAAAGTCTTTTTTGAGGGGCTCCTGGGGGGTTCAGTTGGTTGAGCATCTGACTCTTGATTTCAGCTCAGGTCATGATCTCACAGTTTATGGCATCATGCCCCATGTTAGGCTCTGTGCTGACATCACAGAGCCTCCTCGGGATTCCTTGTTGCTCTCTCTCCCCCCGCCCCCTGCTTGCTCTTTCTCTCTCTCTCAAATAAATAAAACTAAAATAAAATAAATTCTTTTTCGAGTAAATTGTAAAAAGGAGTTCAACTGAATGATCTAGACTTTTTTTTAAAAAAATGTTATTTTTGAGAGAGCGAGAGAGACAGAGCATGAGTGGGGGAGGGGCAGAGAAAGAGGGAGACACAGAATCCGAAGCAGGCTCCAGGCTCCGAGCTGCCAGCACAGACCCTGACATGGGGTTCAAAACCGTGAACCATGAGAGAATGATCTAGATTTTTTAAAAGTTGAAATCACATATGCCATGTAATTTCTGTATTTACTACTTTGTATAATCCCAAGGACTTTGACTTTAATGAGACGCATGGATAAAATCTTTTTCATCCAAATTAGGAACAGTGGGCAAACTGGAGGAATTGTATTTGGTAACAAATGACTAGTTTACACCAAGGAATTAAAACATTGTTAGTCCTGGTAAGTAAGTATTTTCATACCTAAGGGCAGTCTCTCAGGTGCAGAGCCAATGTTAGCCCACAGCATACCTCTGTCAATTGAGAAATGGCAGCCTCTCCTCTAGAAGGATGCAGTGTCATAGCAAAGCCACAGGCTTGATTTCAGTCCTGCTTTGCCCTTATAGGCACCCTTGTATGATGAACAACCAGCACAAGTGTCCACACGAGGGCCCTACTCTGTTGGAGTCTAAGGGCTGAAGTCTACTCACCATCTGACAAGACTAATTAGATACCATCAGATAGGCTGACGTGTGTTACAAGGTGACACCGTAAGATACATGTGGAACAAAATAGAACAAAAGCAATGTGTAAAAGAAAATTCTTCCTCACCCAAGCTGTGACAGGTAAGGCATGACACCACTTTCTCTCAGGTAGTAGGTGACCACACCGCTTCCAGGAGACAGGCTAGTTTTGATGTAAGGCTTCACGTGCAGGCCGGCATTCACAGCTTTCTTTGCTAACAATCCTGTGAAATAGTGAACACCAACATCGCGTAGGGTGGCCACCTAGCCTAGCTGTCAGGGACGGTTCAGGAAGGAGACTGGTCCTTCCGTCTGCATTTCCTGCCACCGCCTGACAAAGCCCCATTCATGGTGCTTTCTAATTCTGCTGCCTAGCAGAAATCAAAAGCTCACTGGCCCAAAGTCATTTACACGTATGCAGTAAACTCAAAATTAGTCATGAAAACGAAGAAAGAGATGGGCTTTTTTTTTTTTTAAAGAAGTAAACTTAAAAACGTTCAGGGATATATTACAGAATAAGTTTTTTAATTTTTGGAGGGAAAGCAATCCTTCTAATTACGTTTTATCTGGATGAAAATTATAATTGGAAGGGCCCTTTTTAAAGGGATATGAATTGTGTACTGGTAGGTGAGGAATACAGTCTAGAGTAAAAATCTAGTCCTCAGATTTTTTTTTTTTAAAGCAGAAAATCACCAGCTCTAGGCCCGTGGAGTTTTGGCAAGTAACAGAGACCATAACTGGGGCACTGGGTGCTCTCTTAGGAACAGCTCATAGAATTTGGAAAGAAATGAGGAGTGGGGGTCAAAAGACACAAAAAGCTACAGACAAGCTGGTGACTTGTCTTAAGGAAATTTGTTCGATCCAGACAACAAAGGCTTAGGTGTCAACAGAAGAATTCTTGGACAAAGGTTTTCCTTATGTACTTGTGCACTTTAAAAAGAAAGAACTCTGTGATGACCTTGGTCTTTGGACACAACAGGAACTCTTGGGAATGATAAAAAAACAACTGGAAATTAAAGAGCTTTCCTTTTTTTAAAAAAAAAAGTTTTATTATTTTTTAAAATTTACATCCAAATTAGTTAGCATATAGTGCAACAATGATTTCAGGAGTGCAACAATGATTTCAACTCCTCCAGTAACCCTCAGTTTGTTCTCCATATTTATGAGTCTCTTCTGTTTTGTCCCCCTCCTTGTTTTTATATTATTTTTGCTTCCCTTCCCTTATGTTCATCTGTTTTGTCTCTTAAAGTCCTTATATGAGTGAAGTCATATGATATTTGTCTTTCTCTAATTTCGCTTAGCATAATACCCTCCAGTTCCATCCACGTAGTCGCAAATGGCAAGATTTCATTCTTTGTGATTGCTGAGTAATACTCCATTGTGTATATAAACTGTATCTTCTTTATCCATTCATCCATCAGTGGACATTTGGGCTCTTTCCATACTTTGGCTATTGTTGAGAGTGCTGCTATAAACATTGGGGTGCATGTGCCCCTTGAAACAGCACACCTGTATCCCTTGGACAAATACCTAATAGTGTAATTGCTGGGTGGTAGGGTAGTTCTATTTTTAGTTTTCTGAGGAACCTCCATACTGTTTTCCAGAGTGGCTGCACCAGCTTGCATTCCCACTAAAGAGCCTTCTATTAATTAAACTCTGTATGTCAATATTAACTGCTTAACCAGAATTGCCCAACAGACCAGGAAGTTTTATCAACCAGTGCCCTGTGCCCTAAGTCAGATGCACCTGACAGCACATCAAAGACAGAGGAAGTCTACTGTATGAAAAGGCCCAATAGAGGTTGTACAGAGAATAGTCTGTGATATTGATATGAAAACAGGTTTTGTTTTTCCTTCTAGAATCTAACACAAGATTCTAAGCTTTACCAAAAATTCATCTTTTTTTTGGCTTTCTTCTACTTATTTTCTGTGTTAATCCTAAAGACTAGTATGCATTATGTATTCTACTTTAAATACTTGGCTTTGGACACTAGTTACTGTGTAAACACTTTTGGGCCAATAAATCTCTGCCTTGGTAAAAGACAACGTTTGGACATGTAGAACTGTTAAGCCCCTGGGTCGTGTCTTGAAAGATTTCCACCCACACGTCCACATGACCATGGGGACCAATTCAAATGCACTCACCTGCCCCCAACATCACCGATGGATTACTGGTGTTTGTGCAGCTAGTAATGGCAGCAATGACCACGGAACCATGAGTGAGGGTGAATTCACTATTATTATATATAAATGTCTTATGGTCATTATGATGGTCCAGAGCAACCTGGAATCCTTTAAACCCTTGCTAAGGGGAGAAAAAAAAAAAAAGAAGTTCTAAGTTTCCATCATATTAGAATCAGTGGCCTTGGTTCCTATCCATTAAACTCTACAATAATGTCATTGAGTTTAATCAGACGAACTTGAAACTAAATTTGTAGCTTTAGCATTTCCATTTTTTTTTTTTCAACGTTTATTTATTTTTGGGATAGAGAGAGACAGAGCATGAACGGGGGAGGGGCAGAGAGAGAGGGAGACACAGAATCGGAAACAGGCTCCAGGCTCTGAGCCATCAGCCCAGAGCCTGACGCGGGGCTCGAACTCACGGACCGCGAGATGGTGACCTGGCTGAAGTCGGACGCTTAACCGACTGCGCCACCCAGGCGCCCCAGCATTTCCATTTTTGAGATGAGAAGGAAGTAAATGTTAATAGGACTTCAAAGTAGATCAAGATTCAGAAATTATGACTGCCTTTTATAAATATTTAAAAACAATAAAGAGAACTTTAATTTTTCTTTAGCATTTCAGAGTTCACTAGCTGACATACTTAGGTTTTGTTAAAAATTGCTTTGGGGCGCCTGGGTGGCTCAGTTGGTTAAGCGGCTGACTTCGGCTCAGGTCATAATCTCGCGGTCCGTGAGTTTGAGCCCCGCGTCGGGCTCTGTGCTGACAGCTCAGAGCCTGGAGCCTGTTTCAGATTCTGTGTCTCCCTCTCTCTGACCCTCCCCCGTTCATGCTCTGTCTCTCTCTGTCTCAAAAATAAATAAATGTTAAAAAAAAAAGATTAAAAAAAATTGCTTTTAAAATTATGGTTACCAAAGTAATTCTTTTTCTTCTAAAGTGAGAACTTTTCACTGTGTGTATACATATATACATTTTGGTCAGATTCAACTAATCATGATCAATAAGGCAAATAAAGTACAGCTGAACATTTGGTTTAATGCTGGTGGCCCAAGGATAAAACCCACCACATATCGTAATCATCATGTGGGGAGATGTTCATTGAAAATCTGCATACAAGATGTTATGCTGGGTACTTTGTGGGATACAAAGGTGATTCTGACACAAATCCTATACTCAAAACATACAGTCCAACAAGGGACATCCAATAAGGGAAATGTATAGGACCAGCAATGTAGGTTTAAGAACATGGATGCCATCTCAGACCAAGTGCCAGAAGTTCAAATGATGACTTTCTGCTATGGGATGTGAGGCCATGCTATGGAGGGGCTGATAGATTAGGACATGCACAGAAGGTGAAGACGGATGCAGGTGGGTGGAGGCAGGGCATGAACAAGAAGTAAGATGGCCAGAAAAGCTTGGGCAAGTCGAGTAGACAGTGTAGTGAGAGTCATATGAAAAGCAGATATGCTTTTAAAAAGGCGGGATGAGTTGTGTTCACAGGTGGTCAAGTGCTCTAAGGAAGTTGTGTGGCTCTTGGCTAATGGGAGAGGCACTGAGGACTTCAGGATGGAGAAGGAACGCCCTCAGCGTCAGGCTTCAGGAAGCTTCCTCATTAGAGGGTGAAAAGCAGCGTGGGCACTAAGAGATCAGGCACGGGGCAGGGTCGGGGAGACTTCCACCTGCCTTCCCGGACCCTACCTTGGCTCCAAGGCAGCTCTCAAAGTCCTTTTTCATGTCCGTCACAGCGACTTTGTCCTGAGGCCTTTTTGGTCCACTGCAGCAAGGCACGACTGTTCTCAAGTTCAATTCTACAACCTGTCCACCCAAAAGGGAAGGGACTCAGGCGCGGACGTTGTACCTCAGAGAAAACACTCCGGTTGTGCCAGACAATTTATAACACCACAGCTACAAAACCAAACAAACTAAACCACCACATTCATAAGCAAGGAGTCAATGTTCTTTTTAATACTTAAAGAATGAGTTTCTGAAGATCAGGATGGACACGTAAGTGGTGCGGGAGAGGCAGGAAGACTTGTCACCTCTCAGGATGACCAGGGTGGGCACTGTAGCTGCTGGCTGGTGTCTTTTATGCATCCACCTTTCCAAAGCAGCTCCTACATTCTTTTTAAGGCTTAGCTTAGTTTGAGATGGGTTTATTCTAAAATGATACATACACCATTGTGCTTTTTGCTAAAATGAATTGGTAGGATGCGGCCACTCAGTCATCAATGCCAGGAAACAGGCCTTGGTCTAGGTGCATATTTCCTTCTCTCAGTGTACTATGAAACAAAACCAGGGGCCTGTATCCAGGTTACCCTCCTGGCTTTCTTGAAAAGAAAAATTGGGAATCGGTTTGCACCTGAGAAAATGAATGAAGGTAAGTCACTGGATAAATCAGAACTAATTGCTACACTTGACCTCCATTTCTTTTCCATCTATAATAACAATGAGCTTAGCCTTTAAACAGCCTTACTCCCTCTGGCAAAGGCCTTCTTCAAAGGTTTTCCACCTTAGAGGAGTAAATGGGTAGGTCAGAAAGGGGGCGCACACTCAGCCTAATGGCCAGGAGGAATGGAAGAAGTTATTTTACGTTTACAATTCCTTATCTTTTTGATTTTTTTCAGCCTTTTAACATGCTGTTCTTCTGTGATGACTTGGCAGTGACTAATTTCCTACAAGTACACCTCCTAAGAAAAAACACACACAACTGAAATCACAGGCTCGAGGAAGAGGAAACACACACTTGGTGAAAGGTGCTCTCATACCTGGGCAAACTCTGGGTCTTGAGAGAGGTTACTGAAATCCCGAAACATTCCTACAGCTTGAAGATACTTTTTCATTTGCTTTACTTTTTCTTCATCACGACCTAAGTGGGCATTTTAAGAAATAACAAGTAACAGGTGTTAATATTTCCTGGTGAAACTAAAGCCTCCGCCAGCAATTAGAGAAGTCAGGTGCATCTCCTTCACACACACACACACACACACACACCACACACACACACACACCACACACACCACACACACCACACCCACCCACCCACCCACCCAAAAGCTTTGCTTCGATTTCAACATTCAGTCTAACTTTTTGACTCTCTGGGTGATGCTGCTGTTTATCAGGGGCCATGAATGATCTGGACTATGTGCTGAAGAAGATTCTAGTCCTATCTGTAAGTACTCTCCTCTCTTTGGTCACTGTCCTTCATTCAGAGGACCTAAGGCTTAGTTACCTGTTAAAGCACACCGAAGCCTCTGCCTTCAAGTGACCAGACTCAGCACTCCACATTATTCTTGTGAAAATAGCAATCCTCTCAAGCTGCCACCAGCTCTGAGCACTTCGCGTCTGCCCAGCACTATGTGCTAAACATTTTAAATGTATCATCTCCATCTCTAATCTTTATCATTACCTTATGAGACAAGTTCTAGATAAGGAAATAGTGGCTCAAGACTCCAAAGTCCCAAGTCTTAACTCCTAATGGAATATGACCCTCAATGCTCGGCTGTATCTTTTTTTTCTTTTTTTTTTTTTTAACATTTTATTTTCAAGTAATCTCTACACCCAACATGGGGCTCCAACTTACAATCCCGAGATCAAGAGTCACATGCTCTACCAATGAGCCAGCCAGGTGCCTCTCTGCCGTTTTATCTAGATCCTGACTGTAGATGACAATATTCACGGAGCAATACCCAATGGGCACACATTCCACACATTTCTCTGACAGTTAAGGAAGACTGTCTGAGAGCTTGATTCTTGGACCATGATAGATGAGCCTGTTTATTTGCCTGTTTGTTTTAACTGGATTGTAAAAGTTACCTGCTTTCAGCCTGGACCTCCTAAAAGATGGCTGAGCTTCATTAATGTATGTATCTATCACGTTTGGTACAACCCAGCCGTCCTCTTCCCGAAGATGCACAGAAAACTCTCTTAGCTTTCAGTGTGAGAAAGGGCTCTACTTCTCTGAAGCAGTATGTTTGTTTCAATGCACTAGATGTGGCAAATTTGGTGCCAGATCACTAAGCAGCTTGGTGGCCACTTCTACAGCCACAGAAATGAATCTGATCTCTGGGTGTATTTTGCAGCCTTCCCCTCTTTTTCCTCCCCGTCAACCCTTCCCTTCTCTCGGTCAATTCCCTCAACCATTTCTTCTGTTCTTTTATTTCTACCTCTTTTTCACTTCAACTTTTTGGGGAGTAAGGGAGATATCAATCAATTTCAATATGGTTATACGTAATAAAAACATTTTAAAAAGACCACTTTTTATCACAATATTAACTACTTCCAGAGGGTTTTCCTCAGGACAATCAGGGAGAAGACCTGGATGAAACTTGAAGTCTGTAAACATCTCACAAATCCTCATGATGAGGTGTGTCTGCATTTGCCCCGTCCTTGCGTTTGCCTTTACCTTGACCAGCCTTTACCTTTGATGCCTGCTGTTTCCTGATATCTCAAAAGGAACATCAGCCATTAGAACCTTTCAATAGTAAACACTGGATACTGATGAGAAGGCCCAAGTCTGTCTGTTCTTTTCTCCTTAATAACTCAGTTGTAATTTTAAAAGTCATTTGGGAGGTGCCTGGATGGCTCAGTCGGTTAAGGCATCTGACTTCAGCTCAGGTCATGATCTCATGGTTTGTGGGTTCGAGCCCTGCATCGGGCTCTGTGCTGACAGCTCAGAGCCTGGAGCCTGCTTCGGATTCTGTGTCTCCTTCTCTCTCTGCCCCTCCCCTGCTCGTGCTCTGTCTCTCTCAAAAATAAATAAACACTAAAAAATGTTTAAAAAAAAAAAAAGTCATTTGGAAAACAAAAGGTCCCTTCCACCTCTGTCACATAGGATGAGCCATCAAAAATAAAATTGTTTCATGTGATCTTCTTGCTCAAAATGACCCGGTGGCTTCCTAGAACATTTAGAATTTAAAATAAATTTCTAACTGTCCACTATGGCCTGCAAGCCCCTGTGTGGATCTGGTCCCTGACCTCCCCTCCCATGGCCTTGACCCTGGGCTCCAGCCACAAAGGCCCCCCCACCCTCTCGGCTGTTGTCTGAACACACGGAGACCATCCTGTCTTGAGTTGCTGTACTTGGGTTCCTCTGTCTGGAAAATGCCTCCTCTACCACTTCCCACTGCTTGTCCCCCACTTCACTTAAGCATCTCTTCAAACTGCTTTCAGGAGCCCTGGCTGACCTTCCGATATATAAATTAGCACCCTTCAGCTACTTCAACCACCTCCCCTGCCTTCTTCCTCATTCTCTTATATACATACGTATGCATTTATTTGTTCATGCCTGTCTCCCTCACTGGAATGGAAACTCCACGAGGGCAGAGACATTATGTTGGTCACTGCTGTATCTCTGACACCTAGATCAGATGTTGATAATGTGTTAAATAAATGACTGAATATTTTAAAAATAAATTTGAAAAATTAAAAAAAAAAAAACCTTTCTCCAAGTTCAAGTCAAATCTCTAAACAAATACATACAGAGTCAAGAAACCGCCAACCTTTCAAGATGCCCTCACATGCGGTCTTTCATTTTACCTTTGGGACAGCCCAGACAGAGGTGTCCTGGAATGCTGTCCTGTTTGGAGCCTCAGCTTTGGATTCTAGCTCCATTACTTATTGGCTTTGGAAAAATACCCTACATCTGTCTCTGATCCTCAGTCTTCTCTCCGATTAGTTTAATGAACTCATCTATCAATCTACCCCAGATCTGTGAAGAGGGTGAGAGCAAATACATAGCAAGTGCCCAGCACATGACAGCTGTTCTCATTACTAAGATCCCTTGTTTCCTGTCAAATAACTAGAAGTAGAGACCAGCATGAATAACTTGGATTCCAGAACACCTGAGCTCTTTCTACTGGCCATACAGTGTCTGTCTCATATCTTCTGAAATCCCAACAACCATTCTGACTCTACAGAGAAAAGGAGAAACACCGTAAGTCTGACCCTGTGCACTCCAAGGGACAGAGGCATAAGGCAGTTCTCCAATCCCCAGAGTTCTACGAAACTTTAAGAAGGGCTTCTGCCTTCGTGGTTCTGCACTTACCTGTCTGCACCAGGTACTTGATACTAACTTCATCAACTGGGAAAAACGCAGCAGTCGCCCCGTACTCTGGACACATGTTCGCAATAGTAGCTCGGTCGGCAATGGACAATTGGGCTACTCCCGGCCCGAAGAACTCGACAAATTTGCCCACTACCCCAACCTGACGCAGGTGCTAGGCAGCAAAACAATAGAAAAGTCTGAGACTTGACAGCCCACATTTAAAATGCAGAACTAGCTCCTTACAATTCTTATTAACTAGCCTGGTACATAAACACAAACAATGACGTGGCCCAACATATTTTTGATTACTCTAAGAAATAAAATTTAAAAAGTAATGTTAACTATATACAGTGTGGAATCTTGGATTGAATCCTGCAACAGAAAAGGGTCATTACTGAAAACACTGGTGAAGTTACTTGTTTCATTAGCAGTGTTGGACCCACATTCTTCATTTTGATTTCATGTACCACGGTTATGTGAGATGTTAACGTTTGGGGCAGTTGGAAGAAAGGTAACAGAAACTCCCTGTATTCTTTACATTAACTCTCCTGTAAATCTAAATGATGTCTACACTGAAAACTATAGCAAGCTTATGAAAGAGATTGAAGAAGACACAAAAAAATGGAAAAAGAGTCCATGCTCCTGGATAGGAAGAACAGATATTGTTAAAATGTCAATACTACCCAAAGCAATCTACATATTCAATGTAATCCCTATCAAAATAACACCAGCATTCTTCACAGAGCTAGAACAAACAATCCTAAAATTTGTATGGAACTAGAAAAGACCCCAAA